GTAGGGTAAAAAAAAAATTTTTTTTATCGTTTTTTTTCAATCCCTTCCAAAAAAAAAAAAAAAAATACAAAAAAATTCTTAGCTTTTCTCCCGAATCGATCGTTTTTACTACTGCATTTCATTTAAAATCCGTTGACTCGATACAAAAAAGTAAACTTTTTGGTTTTTCAATGCCATATTTTTATCATAATTATTATTATTATTTTTCACCCCTCGCAACGACAGCCCGTTTGCTGTAAAAAAAAAAAAAAAAATTTTTTTTACACCGGAGATTTTTTTAAAAATTATATTAATTAGTATTTTTTTTATCAAAAGAAAAAAAATTATTATCAAAGAACGTAAAAAAAAAAAAAAAATTTCTTTTAAATGTCTTCGGCTTTTTTTTCGGTTATATAATTTCAAAAAAAAAAAATTTTAATTATGTCGGGATGAATTTATTTGCGTTTTTTTTTTTTTCAATTTCTTAATTAATTTTCATTAAATTTTTTAAGTTAAAAAAAAAAAATAAACACGCGTAAAAAAAAAAAAAAATTTTCGGCGCCATTTTTTTTTTTGCCCCCCATTCCGAATAGGCTCAAGCTTTAAATTATTTTAAAAAATAATAAAATGAATTTTCTGATAGATAAAATATACTTTAATTGTTACTATAATAGATGCTACAAATAGTACACATTATTAACAGCAAAACAAGTCTCCACATGTTTATTTTTTCCCTTTTAATTTAATTTAACGGTCAGCCAATTGTTTTTTTTTTTTTTTTATTAATAAAAATTTATTACTTTTGTAATAATATTAATAATAATAAACTTTGCGTCGTTGGTAGCTCTTGAAATACGTGTGACATAAACGTTGTGATAATTTTTAAAAAAAGAATTCGTTATGTTTAAACTATATTTGTGGAGTGTAGGTATTTTTTTCCCTAGGTGGGTAAAAAGGATTTGGCGTGGGTTCTGCTGGACCAAAAGGCCTATACAATGAACTTGCAGGTATCCATACGGGAACATCCGTTAATGATTTCCAAGGTCTGTGATTGTTGTTATTATTATTAACCTGTCCCGGAGGCTGACTGTATTGACAACAGCAAACATTAAGTGGCTGTGATACGTTGCAAGGTACTTGTTCGTACGTCGTTGGCTTTTTTGAATTTACCAATTTAGATTTTTGTTTTGTTTCTTCGTTATTCAATCCGTTGAAACGTTTAACTGGAGTCGGTTGACATTCGGCATATTGTTTAGTTCCTTGTTGATCTTTCGGTCGTTGATATTGATGAACGTTGTTTACAACATCACCGTAATATATTTGTTGGTGATGTTGTGCGCCGCTAACCGGTTCCGCGGGAGCGTAACCGTAAATACAAGGTTTCATAGTTTGATAAGGATTGTGTTGTTGATAAGGATTTTCGTTTAATTGATAATTTTGATTCGATTGTAAATTTACACTGACCTGAGATGCGTTCAAACAATTATTATTTTTTGTATAATTTTGTATTTTACTGGGATCCTTATATATTTTTTTTAACTTTTCATTATCGTCTAAATCCCATCGTTCATCTCCAAAAGGTGACATCATGTATCCCTTCGATTTTATGTCTCTTCCGAGAACTTGAAAATGAGTTTTCGCATTTCCACCAAACATCACCCCTTCAATCCAATAATAATTTTGATCACAAAAAATTTTTTATTCAAAAAAAAAAAAAAAAAATTAAAAACAAAAACAGTAACAAAAAATAAATAAAAAAAAAAAAAAATGGCGGCACACTGAATTATATAAACTTTTAAATATTCATATCAATTGTTTAAAAATGTTTCTCGAAGGCTAGGGGAATATCGAAGTACTGCGAAGGATTTTTTCCCTTTTCCTTTTGCGATTTAAGGTCGGCACGACCTTTACTTATTGTAAATAATAATAATAATAATAATGGTAAAATTGATTGTTTTCAGTACGGAACATTTAGCATCAAACGTGGGTACGGTTGGATCTTATCCAGGAAGCGTTAGAACGAGTGCGGAATGTTCTTTGGCTTCCAGTAGGGAATCATCCACGACGACCGTGCCATACAAAGTGGTCATGTTGGGAAGTGCTGGAGTGGGTAAAAGTTCACTAATATCTCAATTTATGACTTCCGAATATTTACACGCTTACGACACTAGTTTAGGTGAGTTTATTAAATCATTATTATTATTTTTTTCCCCCCTTTACAAAAACAAAAACTTTGCGACTAAAAACTAATTAACATTTTTCCATTTTCTTTTTTAAATTTATAATTTAAGTAAAAACTTAAAAATTTAAATAAATAAAATTATACCGTAATAAAACAAATTAGAAAGAAAAAAGAATAATAATAATAATAACCAAAGTTATTTATATAAAATTTTCATTTTTTTTTTTTTTTTTTTTTTCATTTAAATAATTGACGTCGTGAATTCACCTCATTAAAAGTTAAAAAAAAAAAAAAAGGAAAAGGTTAGATTTTTTTTTTTTTTAATTGAATTTATTTATAAAAAAGCAGAAAGCTTTCCTGTACAGGTTCGGGTTAGGTTAATACTTTTTATCCCTTTTGTGACTTTTTTTTTTTTTCCCCCCCCCCCCCTTTAGTAGTAATCAATATCATTAAATAAAAAAAAAAAAAAAATTATATAAACTCTATCTTTTGGTTATTATTATTATTATTATTATTATTATTATTATTATTATTATTATTTTTAATGCTTTTAAAGTTATTTTAAAAAAATTAATTTGATTGTCGGTCGTGAAGTTAATTTAAAAAAAAAAAACTTTTCGTCTCTTGATGAAACGTGATATAACGGTTTTTAACGGAAAATTTTCCAAATTGATATGACGTATGAAAGGCAGAATGAATGAAAAAAAGGTGGGGGGGAAGGGGGAGGGGGAAAAGAGTTAAAATTTTTTATTATTATTGTATTATAGGTAAATTTTATTTTTTATTTATTTATTTATTTCAAAGTCTCAGATTTTAAACTTTTTTCTTTTTTTTTCCCCCCTATCAGTCTCTCTCTCTCTCTCTCTCTCTCTCTCTCTCTTCCTTTCTCTTTCTTTCTTTTTATTTTTCTTTTTTAATTTTCATCCGTTGATAAAAACTTTTCCAAATTGTTTTAACTCGGTTCATTACTTTCTTTCAAAAAAATAAATAAAATAAATAATTTCGTTAGTCAAAGTATCGTGGAAAATTTATTTAAAAAAAAAAAAAAATATTTTTCAATATTAATATTTTTTACCGTTAAAACTTTTTTCTCTCCCCCACCCTCACCCCCTACTCCCCTTAAAAAAGAAAAAAAAACGGTATTTCATTTTTTATTTTTTGCCATTTAATAATTATAAAATATAACGGAAAAAAAAATGTTAAAAAGAAATGAACGGGAAAGGGAAAAAAAAAACGTGTAACTAGAATTTTTAAAAACAAACAAACAATCTCGTAAACAAACATTATTTCTCTTCAAATTTAGAAAAATTAGCCATTTAAATAATTTAAAGCGGAAATTTTTTTTTTTTTGCGTATACGAAATTACATAAATTCGAATAAATCATTTTCACAAATCATAAGGTGGAGGGTGGGGGTAGAGGTGGGGAAATGAAGCTATTTAAAAAAAAAATTTGTTTTATTGTTACTTTCCCTTGTTTAATCAAAATTATTATTATTATTATTATTATTATTATTATTATTATTATTATTATTATTATTATTATTATATTACACCTTCGTAGTTGGGAAATGTCTAAAACTCGAAATGAATTTACGTGTAATTTTTCATTTTTAAAAGTTGACAATAAAAATTTAACGTTAAAAATATAGTAATTACAAAAAAAAAACCCCTGAGACGATATTAATTAATTTCAATTTATTATTATTATTATTATTTGTTGTTTACAAAAAAAAAAAAAAAAACTTAAGGGAAGGAAATTTATTAAATTTAATGTTTTTAAAAGGGAGTGTTTTTTAAGGGATGTAAATGAGTGAATCGATGATAAAAAAATAACGTGGAAGTAGAAAGAAAGAAAGAAAGGAAAAAAAAATTATTAAAATTATAAAAATTAGTTTTTTGATAATTAAAAAGAAGAGATTTTATTATTATTTTTTTTTTTTTATAGAAAAAAATTAAAAATTCAAAAAAATTTTTAATTAATTTTTA